TGTTTGTACCCACTTGTCTGTAAGTACTACATATTTACCATGTATATACATTAGTAAGTACAGTAAAGTATCTCATTAGTTACCATGTACGGGCACTACCTGTAAGTACCCACACTTGTCTGTATGTACAAAATAATTACCATGCATTTACGACTGTTAAGTACAGCTGTTTCTTATTTGTTACCATGTACATACACTTCAGGTAAGTACCTTGTGTTACCACTCATTTGCCTGTAGGTACAAGATATTTACCATGTATGTACCAGGGAAGTACACGTACTGTAAAATAAAGTGCTACCAAAATTGCACTTCAGTCAATTGTAGGCACATTGAAAGCTATTGAAATTTATTTCAAAGTTTACATATCAGATTCTCTAATTTTGAGATAAATGTGTTGACCAAAGTCTATTTGATATAGTTCTCTAATAATATTTATAGTCTGATATACAGTGGCATTCAAAATTCTGAATTCACACTAAAATATGAGATTCAAAATAGAGATCAAGCGCATGATTTGTGTATAAATATATAATATAACAAATACAAAAAAAACCCCAAATATATAATATAATTTGTAATGAAAACAAACAAACCAAAAGTAGACAACTGCAAAATAGAAACATTTTTACAAGTGGACTTTTGAACCCCACTATAGGCTACATGATTATATTCTGATGAACTGTAAAACTGGCCTGTATTTCCAGATGGATAATTATAATTTCCAGCTGTCTTGAAATCATTGCACTGGAGTCTTTTCTCACATCTGACATAGTTTGTAATAGCATACTACTAACTTATGTATGCTGTTTGTATAATTTACTTTCTGCAGTACATAAGATACACACACACACACACACACACACACACACACACGTCACGACATATTTGTAAAATGTGCAGTATACAAAAGAAACACTTGATCTTCTAGTTCCAGTGCGACAAATTAACTAGAAGCAACTGCATACTGCTTAAAATCTATTTAATATATATATATATATATATATAAACATATATGTTTGTTTGTGTGTGTGTATTTATATATATAAAATAGTTTTTAAACAGTATGCAGTGGGGAAAAAAAGTATTTAGTCAGCCACCAATTGTGCAAGTTTGTTTGTGTGTGTGTGTATTTATATATATAAAATAGTTTTTAAACAGTATGCAGTTGCAGACTATTATTAATAATAATAGTCAGCTCAAAGTATGTCCCGCATATTTGCAGTAAACAGTGTACCAGCAATGTGTCCTAACTGCCAGCAGGGGGCGTCTGTGACAATCCTGATCTGTGAACGCGCGATTACAAACCACCTGTGTTTACTGAACACTGCATTTGCTTGTTATACAGCACACGAGTGGCAATTTTTCATTTAGTCAAAATTGCATAAGAATGCCTCAGTTTACACACTTATCTTATGTATTTGTTATGCTTTCAACACTCCAAATAGTGTACAAAGTGACTCCTTGCTCGTCGGTGTGTCAGTTTGGTATAATGCCACTCAGTCAGGCGCTAATATTTGCAGGACATTTTAGGACATTTGTCAGTCTGAATCGTTTATTTGTATACACAGTGGCGGAAAATCAAAAGGAGTAATGACGTATCAAGGAGTGACAGAAGTGTTTTCTAATTCTTCTGTAATTATTACACATGCATTATGACGTCATATTAACTGAGGAACTACATGGAATATTTGAACTTTCAAATTCTCTGGTCACACTGCAAGACTAGCCTACTTGAATGAACTACAAAATAGTGGGTAATAAAAATACTGAAAAAGAATGGGTGAAATTTGTGTAAAAATATAATTTTCCACATATATAATTACATTATTTCAAAACGAAATTTTGATGTTGAAAAAAAAAAGACATTTTGAAGCTCAAATCTGTTAATATGCTTTGGGATTTCAACTGCCTGGGTCACATTAGTATATGTGTGTTTATATTTAAATATATTCATGAATATTAAATAAGTAAAAATAAGAAATAGCACTGCTGAATAAATAATATTTTTTTTAAATTAAATGTTTAAAAAAAATAAAACTTCAATTTAACGTTTTAAAATTGTTTTTATACAATCAATCTACAGTACCAATCATCATTTAGAGACATGTACAGTGAATGGCAGACACACATGAACACACACAGACTTGTGGATACAGTGCAAAGAAAACACATTACATCGAACTCTGAGAGGATTTCAAAAACTATAAGCAGACATGCACATACACGACTGAATCTGGTATACTTTTAAACTCACAAAGACATTGAAACATACAGGCACGTCCACAGAGACACCACTATGGACATTTCACTGCTTTAATCCAGTAAACTAGCGCAAGTACCGAAATATGACTTGTTTGATATTGTAGTAAATGACAAACGCAACAGTGTATAAATCTGACTTTGAACATACAACACCCTGGCATCCAAAATCCATAGTGTGAGGCAATGTTTGGTCTGATAACATTAAATCAAATGGATAATATGCTTGGATTGATTATCCATCAGGTTGTTTGGTCTTCAAGTCAACAATCCCCCCCCCCAAAAAAAGACATATAAAGTCAACTTGGCACAGAGTGAATCCTGTTATAGGCAAGAATGTTGGCATCCTGTGTTTTTCTTTAACCTTTGACCGCTAAAGGGTCACATTTGGTAAAGGTATCCATTAGGACAGTGTAACCATGGAAGCAGTGCATGCTTGGTGGCTTAAACCCGACCTGTTAGTGGTTTGGGTGTATTAATACAACACACATCAGCAGGAAAAATAAAATGGATTTTTGCGTGGCACAGGCTTTGACGTGCATGACCAATAATATATTTGGCATGAATGTGTATGTGCACTCAAGCATGGAGGACTTTTCCATGGAAATTGAAAATGCAGCACCGGCACCATTGCTGTACCATTATTTTTAAGAAAGGCCTTGCTAGTTCCAGTGCTGAATAAATGTTTGTCTGTCTCTCCTACTTTAATTTATTCAGACTTAACTGAACAATGCACGCTACCAACATCTGTTCCAATACCTTGTGAGCTGCCTACCAAGACAGCATTTTAAGGCATTAAATGTTTTCCCCTAAAAAGCAGAGTGCATTGCAATGAGTTCGGTGAAAAAAGTTCATCCAAGATGGCGGACAAGTTGACACAAATATTTTGATAATTTATAAATAACCACATGTCATTCAATAATGAAAACTATTAATAGCCTAAGTAGTTAAATATATATAAAAACTGACTATTTTGCCCACTATTTGTGGGTAAAATGTATTTTTGTGCTTATTAGAGTACTGAGGTGTTAGCTTAGCAACATGCTAACCATTCTAAAGCATTCCAAAATAGTTACCTCCAAGTTTCCATCTAATGGCTGGAATACACAAGTTTTTTAACACTAGGCATCACACACTTGCAGACTTTGGTTACAGAGGAAAAACTGGGCACCATTGGGAGTTTGTGGTCGTCATAAACTACACAATTTTATGTGAAATCAGTCACCTCAAATTTGCAGACTGGCTCTGACTTTCGGCAACTAGCATCGATTTGTCCAGACTGTAAATCAGGACAAAATTAGTGTATTCAAGCTTTAACTCAGTTACTAAAGATATGGTGCATCAATGCAATGTTAAAGATATATATTTTTTAAATATCTAAATGTATACTAGAAAACTTGTTTGTTATAAAAAGACATATTGTCACTTGAGCTTTAATCAAATACTTTAAGTTTTAACTGTATCTTTGTCATTTGTTTATATATATATATATATATATATATATATATATATATATATATATATATATATATATATATATATTTTTATTTATATATATATATATATATATATATATATATATATACACATTTATTTTTCTGTATAAATATATTGTTTCAACCACTAAGTACCTAATTTTGATGTATTTCTTAATGGGGACACTAGATTTGCACAGAAGACAAATGCTTTTTTTGACTGTTGTCATTGCTGTTATCAGATTACTGAGGTTCTTGACATGTGCGACTTGATTTTTTTTGTCAAAGATACAGGATTTGCAATTTTCTGAGAGTTTAATTATATGTTCATGTTATATTTTGACTGCATTTGTGAGTTAAAAAAATGTTTAAACCAGGCACGTAACATCGTAATATTGATAAATCAATCGCAGCCTCCTGAATCTATTAACTAACCAAATCACGGCATGTTTCAAGGTATTGGCAAATATTGTATCTCTGGCTAAGAAAACCAATACCAGATGTACACCCCTATAAGTTAGTATGCTGCATTGTTAAGGCAGATGCCTATGTAGGCAAGTTAACTCACTAGGTTTTGGAACAGAACTAGAGAAACCAGCACAGGCCTGTGTTGCTATGTCACAAAGAAGGCACCTATGTAGCAGCAGAATACAATACAACAGTGCAAAATGACAGTGAATCACAGTGTTATGAGAGTGTTTGTCTATTAATTTGAAATGTGATAATTTGTTATTCTGTGAGGGCGTTTTTTTTTTAAATATCTTTGCCTAAAGGGAAAAATGTACCTTACTATGAGCGATCGAGACGAATACATCTCCACTCTCAGAAAAATGCACAGACATCTAAGGACTCACAGTTTGATAGCAGAGCAGTCACATATATGCACTCGTACACACACATTTAGACGTATGAACACTCACAGAACACAGTAGTGTAACAAGATCTCTGCTCTTCTCTCTCTCCTGACATTCCTGTGTGTTATTTCAGTGATAGGACTTGCACGGTATACAATTTGAGACGGCACATTCTGATCTGATCTGCAGATTTCTGGGAAAGGCAATATTCAGCCCAGGGTTTCCAAATGGGTCCGCTCATTTGTGATTGGTCAGTCTTTGTTCTGACACTGTGCACTGTGGGTATTCTGTGGCACTTGGTACAACTGTCCCTCTGTGGGTGTGGCTTGATCAGATGTGCTCTTGGGTGTGTCATAGGCTGAGCTTGCTGATTGGCTGCTGTCTGCCCGAGCCACTAAACTACGCCCCCTGAATGACGAATACATCTCCACTCTCAGAAAAATGCACAGACATCTAAGGACTCACAGTTTGATAGCAGAGCAGTCACATATATGCACTCGTACACACACATTTAGACGTATGAACACTCACAGAACACAGTAGTGTAACAAGATCTCTGCTCTTCTCTCTCTCCTGACATTCCTGTGTGTTATTTCAGTGATAGGACTTGCACGGTATACAATTTGAGACGGCACATTCTGATCTGATCTGCAGATTTCTGGGAAAGGCAATATTCAGCCCAGGGTTTCCAAATGGGTCCGCTCATTTGTGATTGGTCAGTCTTTGTTCTGACACTGTGCACTGTGGGTATTCTGTGGCACTTGGTACAACTGTCCCTCTGTGGGTGTGGCTTGATCAGATGTGCTCTTGGGTGTGTCATAGGCTGAGCTTGCTGATTGGCTGCTGTCTGTCCGAGCCACTAAACTACGCCCCCTGAATGGTAGAGTGCCTCCTGATAGGTGGTTAGCCCTGTCAATCATGATTGGCGTGGCGTATTCAGTGCCAGAAGCAGGAAGGGGCTCAGCGTAAGCATGGTAATGTTCCGCAGGAATAGGTGCATCATACTCGGGCCCACCGGCCTCTTCGGGTTTAAACGTTGACCTTTGTCCAAGAGAGGCCATAGTACCGGTGACAAGCGGTTGGGCGTATTCTATATGGATGGGCAGATGGGCAGAAAATAGATTGTTCAAGGAGAACATAAAACTAATTTGACCAGTTTGTTTGAATGCATACCTGCATGCTCCACCCGGGGTCTCTGGTGGTCCACTCGTGCCGAGGAACTGTAACGAACACAATTGTCTCCATCCAACTTAGAGGGCAGCAGCTGTTTCATACTCTTCCACCACACTGAAACACACATTCATGCATGTTTAATAATTAATGTAGGTGGAAATGCAAAAGAGTAAACAACTGAGAACAGACGCACCTGTGCGCTCCCACTGTGGAAGGTCATAAGTCACCTCGGGGCTTTTTCTGTAGGTTTGAATACAGATGGTGAAGATATTATCTCAAATGGGTTGTCCTTTAAGGCTATTCGCATTAAGTTTAAATTTTCATGAACAACAAGGTTTTAATATGAGGCTAAACTATTTTAGCGTAATGATCTCTTGGTGATTTTAAAAAACTATTCAGACATCAAATAATTTGCTGAGATATTGAAATGTTGTACTGACCTGTTCTTCCACAGCCATGAGCACACCATCACTAACACCAGGGTTGTCAGAACCACCACCAATACAGGAACCAACACAGCCACCAGCGCCACCTCTGTTACATTTACACAGCACATTAATATCATCAATCTCGTGTTAGCCAAGTTATCAAAATGTAGTTAAATATTAAAATGTATACTGTTTTGTCTAAATAAATGAAAAATAAAACACTGAAATCAAGATGCTGCAAATATACTGATAATAAATACTTTATTCAGTATTAAACAGGAATGAAAGAGGGATACAACTAATTAAAATTAGGCTATTTCACCCATTTTTTGATTGATTTGTATTTTTAGTAATTATAGCTGTTAACTTAGCAACATGCTAAAATGAGAATCAACTGGAATTAACAGTAAATCCTAAATGTGTGCACTTTATATGAGAAGCATGTGAAAAGCAAGTTTGCTGCCTACATAAAACATATTAAAATCAGTCATTTTTGAGGTTCCATTTCACAAAGAATGCTCACAAAGAATATGCTTTTGCCTTCCAGTGTGCTGCTTTTTCATTGTTTTTCTATGCAAACAAAGTGTTTGACCATCGCATTCACTGCTAGTTCATGACAGCATTCTAAAACCCGGCGGGCAGGTTAAAAGTTGTTTAACTTTAAAAAAATAAATAAATAAAAACATCTCTAGGCCTTGAGTTTTTTGTCATTCAACTGCCTTGCATTTTTTTTTAAAAGCGCATTCTGTGTGAATGAATGGCCCCGAAGAAAGTAGATGCCTATATAGACAGCAAGGCAGCTCACTTTATTACAAAGCTCATATGTTAAATAACTGAATGAACTATGTTCTTACCATCGTGAGAGGGAGGAGGCATGGTGGTGTTTCGGATGTTGGGCGTGTGTGTCGTCCTCTCCTGTAGGGGGGGCACTGTGCTTTTTCTGCGAGGGGGAGGAGGGGCTGGATGGAAGATTCTTGGCCTCGCTGAACAACATAAAGAGATCCAATCATGTTTAGCACAGATAATTGGCCAAAAATTAGACCGATTTCTCTGATTTGTCTCACCTGCATGAGGTTGGCAGCCCAGCAGCTCCATTTTAAGGGCGATCCTCTGGTGCCACTGCAAGGGACATATTCTGATAAATCGTGCTTCAATTGGAGGAATAAAGTTGTTCCGCACTTCCTGGAGATAGTTGGTGTTGCCTTGGAAAATCTGTTACAGAGACACAAGGACACATTGTCTTGGCAACAAAGAACATTTGGCCTCAGACCAAGGTCCGTCTTATTTACGCCTAATCAATGCGGTTCTCGTTAAGCTCCCTGACAGTCGATGGACATTCATTATTAATGACCACAGAGTGCACTTTAATTTCAGGCTCCTTAAACCTCAGGAATGTAAAACCCTTTTTCCTGGAAATATACAAACAGTGATGTCATTCTGCAGCAGTTCCATAATACCCCCAAACACAAAAGAAGACTGGACAACAAAACACATGGTCTGCTTCAAAACCTACTGAGCTGGATATGCTAGTCAATGTATGGTGCCTTTTAAGATACCTTATTTTGGCCACATTCAATTGTATCGCATCGCATAAAATGAAATAAAAGATAGTGGATAGGGGAAATGTTGAGAATAAACCACCCTAGATTTAATTTAATAATTTTAAAAAATGTAATAAAATGTAATCCAAAATTTTTACCTAATATTACATCCTAGTATCAGGGTAGTAGCAATATCTGTAGAAATGAATTGAAAGTCAAGTATTCTGTGCACAGTGGTGTTGCTGCCAACGTACAGCATTCCAAATCAGTAATTTATAAAGTTTCTAAGGGTTAGGATCCTTTCTTGAAAGATTTTAGAACAGAGTTAAGCTAACACAATACAAATAATCATCCATACCTTGTTTTTATCTGATCCCACTTCTTGGCAGGCTTTCCATTGCTGTCCATCATGGCTATATAACACCTCATAGGCTGAAATGTAAAACTGATATTCTTGGAGGCTGGAGCCAGTGGTGGTAATACCTGAGAAGCAGAGGCAAATGACTGACCAATCAAGATATAGATGCAAACACACTGATCCTTTCTTTCTCTCTCTCTCACACACAAACACACACACACACACACACAAAAACTCTACCTGTTATTTTTTTCTCTTTCTTCAAGTCCACTTGAATCCATTCTTTTGTGTCGCTGTTGGCTGCTGCCCACGGACGTCCTGGTGTTTTGAGGCGAGCCCCTGTGGGGCCCCAGACAGTGGGCTCCTTTCCGTGACCACCCCATTCCCACTCTGAGGAGGCTGTGATCTGAGAGTCACTGACCACCCCCGACTCCAAACCCAAAGTGCCATAGCAACCTTGAAGAGAGAGACAATGAAAGGTTCTATTATCTAAATTGGGCATTTCTGTAGAAGTGACAGGAATAAAGAAAAAATGCATTTTAAAATCTTTATTAAATAAAAGTATATACAATCGCTATTATATTTCTGCTTTTTATTATGAAATAAAAGTTATAATAACATAATTTTTGATACATTACTGATTCACTCACCGCTAGTCTTGAAAGTAAAAAGGCTGGGGGAGAGATTTCCACTGTAAGAGGGAGAAAGATGCAGAGCTGTCATTCTGTCTACCAATCAATCAGTTTATTACATAGATGAAAAAAAACTCAAAGAGAGAACTCAAATCGAACTAGATTTGCATTTCCAGAAAGACATACCAGTGCTTGCAAGGCAGAAATACTTTTTAATTAAAATGCAATAAGTTTAATGTTTGGGTTTTGATTCTGTGTAAATGTAATGCTGCATCAGAGATGCTTTGCACACAGCATGCATCTAGTTTTCCATTGGCTGTGCATGAGAATCAACAAACAACACAATATCATCTTCGCGGTGTACACAACCACAGATAGCTCTAAATAACTGCATCCAGTATGCAAATGTTAAACTGTCGTTTAAGCTGTGTTCACGTCATGTCGGAATTACCAGATGACAATTTAGAGCAGTTCAGGTCCTCTGACTCAGAAAGTATTTGTTTCTATGGCAACGCACGATTCATAATGAAAAGATGAATCCATGTGCCGCTTTGTTGTTTATTCGCACGGGATTAATATTACCTGGTGACCTCCAGTCATTTGTAATAATTGCAGAGGTTGTCTGTGATCTTAATCCCGTGCGAATCGGCCATGTCTGTAATTTGTAAAGTAAAAATTCCCCCGCAAATGACCTACCATCTCGCCGAACACCGAGGTCCTGTGATGATAATATTAGTCCCGTGCGAATCGGCATCTCTGTGATTTGGCCAACATTTGGCGGGTTGTATATCATTTTTTGAGGTTTGTGTTTCCTGTGTGCCTTTTTATCCATCTTTCGCGAAGAATGGAGCTGCGTTGGAGTGTTTGATAGTATTTTGGGTGCCGTCATATCGCTACACCATACAATTTGCAGAAAGAGAAAGTTGAAAAGGTTTTCAGGTTAATGTGTTACAAATAAATCAAGCATAAAGCTTGAGATATTATTTTAACCTGGTGAAATGTAACCTTGGGGGAAGTCGTGGCCTAATGGTTAGGGAGTCGGCCTCGTAACCCAAAGATTGCGAGTTCGAGTCTCGTACCGGCAGGGATTGTAGGTGGGGGGAATGAATGTACAGCGCTCTCTCTCCCACCTTCAATACCACGACTGAGGTGCCCTTGAGCAAGGCACCGAACCCCTAACTGCTCCCCGGGTGCCGCAGTAAAAATGGCTGCCCACTGCTCCGGGTGTGTGTTCACGGTGTGTGTGTGTGTGTTCACTGCTGTGTGTGTGCACTTTGGATGGGTAAATGCAGAGCACTAATTCCGAGTATGGGTCACCATACTTGGCCACATGTCACTTCACTTTTTTTTTTAATGACACAGGGCACGAAACTATAGGCCTATTAGTTTATTTTTTTTAAATCCATCTAACCGGACCATAGAACGGGACTCTCAAAGCCTTGACATCCGGGTATCCGGGAGATAAGTCAGTAAATTCGAGTAAAATCACAGGCTTTGCTTATCCCGTGCGAATGCGAAGAATGGAGCTGCGTTGGAGTGTTTGATAGTATTTTGGGTGCCGTCATATCGCTACACCATACAATTTGCAGAAAGAGAAAGTTGAAAAGGTTTTCAGGTTAATGTGTTACAAATAAATCAAGCATAAAGCTTGAGATATTATTTTAACCTGGTGAAATGTAACCTTGGGGGAAGTCGTGGCCTAATGGTTAGGGAGTCGGCCTCGTAACCCAAAGATTGCGAGTTCGAGTCTCGTACCGGCAGGGATTGTAGGTGGGGGGAATGAATGTACAGCGCTCTCTCTCCCACCTTCAATACCACGACTGAGGTGCCCTTGAGCAAGGCACCGAACCCCTAACTGCTCCCCGGGTGCCGCAGTAAAAATGGCTGCCCACTGCTCCGGGTGTGTGTTCACGGTGTGTGTGTGTGTGTTCACTGCTGTGTGTGTGCACTTTGGATGGGTAAATGCAGAGCACTAATTCCGAGTATGGGTCACCATACTTGGCCACATGTCACTTCACTTTTTTTTTTAATGACACAGGGCACGAAACTATAGGCCTATTAGTTTATTTTTTTTAAATCCATCTAACCGGACCATAGAACGGGACTCTCAAAGCCTTGACATCGTATCCGGGAGATAAGTCCGTAAATTCGAGTAAAATCACAGGCTTCGCTTATCCCGTACGAATGGAGGGTGGGGGGTAATATATGACTCACCCTCATATATTATGTATGACTATAATAACTATAATATAATATAAATAAAGCTTAGAGCAAATTTATTTTGCAACTTGTAATTGCAAGTTCAACAAAGACGGTTTCTACTTTTAATATATATCTTTTAATATACAATATTTACTTTTTAATATACATTTTAAAATCCCCCCCCCCACACACAGATAGATGGATAGATAGATTTGGGGGTCTTTGGCAAAAAGTTGTAAAAAAATTGTGCATTAAAAAGTTAAACATAACTGATTTGCAGAAAGACTCAGAAAAGGATATTAAGAGAAATTTCAATACTACACTGCCTTGCAAGCCCTGTAATCAAATGTAATAGATTTTCCCATGAAGAAAGCAAGCAAGAATGCAAATGGGTTACTCACGGCACAGATGTCACATTGTTGGCCAGTGAGCTTTCGTAGTGTGGGATGCCTTTGCTGCTGACCACACTGATTTGCCCCCCCAGAGTGTTGGACACCACACCCGCATGAATACCGGCCAGACAGAGAGGAGAAGACTGCAGAAAGAGACGGTGAGACATTAAGACAGCTGACACTGACTCATTCACCTAAAACCCACAAGCTGTGACTTGGCACGATGAGGTCACATCCTCGAAGCAGAACTGCAGTGGTACAGAATGTGATATAGATAAAGAATGAACTGTGATAAAGAATGATTGATGATTCATTAGACTAACTTCTTCCAGAGTTTAGAATGAGACTTACACAAAAACATGCACATATAGTGTTCTCACAGGCCACATACACACTGCAAAGTTTTGGGAATCACAAAAGCGTATATGATACTATTAAAAAATTTGGGCTCTTTAAGTTTTATTTGTAAGAAATTAATATTTTTTATTCAGCAAAGATGCATTAAATTGATCAAAAGTGACAGTAAAGATATTGGTAATGTTACAAAAGATTTATATTTCAAATCAATGCTGTTCTTCTAAACCTTCTATTAATCAAAGAATCCTTAAAAAAACAGTTTCCACAAAAAAATTAAGCAGCACAACTGTTTTCAACATTGATTATAATAAGAAATGTTTCTTGAGCACCAAATCAGTGTTTTTAAATGATTTCTGAAAGATCATATAGAAAACTGTTATTTTAAATTGTGATCATATTTAAAATTATTACTCTTTTATTAATATGAATATACTTTTTCACAATATTAAATTAGTGCCGCCTTAGTAAGCACAAGAGACTTCTTTAAAAAACATTTTTTTTTAAATCTTACCGACCCCACATTTTTTAACAGTAGTTTACTTGTGGGAATAAATCTCCTAAATGATCTTTCAGTTGTGTACAGAATAAATGAGTCGCTCTTATAAACTCAGGACTGCTAACATATCGGTAAGTAACCATAGCAACATATGATGTGTTTTTCAAGAAACTAACATTAGTGACCAGAAATGCATTATTATGATCCTGTAATTCTCAGTAAACTACAGCTGACAGACATCCACCATTTAATTTGCTCATTAAAGGGATAATTCACCCAAAGCTGTCATCCTTTAATCACCCTCACTTTGCTCCAAACCTGTATGACTTTATTTCCTCTGCATATGGAACACAATTTATTTATTTTTTTAAATGTTTTTTTAAATGTTTTGGTCATGTAATGAATGTCATAGGGGTCCAAAAAATAAGAATTTCATTGTATACACTTTTCCCAAAATATCATCTTTTTTTCTCAGGAGAAAGTCAGTCATACAGGTTAGGATTGACACAAGGTAAATGATGACAGAATTTACATTTCTTCTGCTTCTGCTTTTTTTTCTGCTCTCCTTTTGAACATTTGAAACCAACTGAAAAATTGGCTGTCAATGTGAATTCTTAATGAATTCAGTTGTCAGTTGCAGTCGACGCTCAAATAAATAACCAGATATGTTTGAGTCCATTAAAAGAATCAGGTCAGATGCAACTTGGAATTGGTTAAGTTTCAATTGTGAATGTTGACTATACAACGTTATTCTGCCTGCATTTTGTGGACTACTGATGAAGAATAGCGATAAAGCTTGCCAGAAAATACAACTCATTTAGCAGCTTATGAGGTGACAGGAAATGTACCACATTTGCCATCTGCTGTGGCAGCGCATAAAGGACAAAATGCAAGTATCATTTACACACCTAATGTGCATTCTTCCCTCTATTTTGTTGAATTAGGGTCTTAAAAGCTCCCTGTCTTTCTTAATAACTTGCTTAATGTGTCCAAGGCCACCACAATTAATCAAATAAACAAATCAAGATTACGTTTACAACAGAAATGTCTGTTGTGCATGTGAACACAATATAATCAAACAGATTTAAATCTGTCTTATAGGCCTGTCAAAAAATAAACAGTTCTAATAAACAAGTTTTAAACAATCTGATCCACAGATGCGTGTTTTATGGCGCACATATATTCATGGTAGCACTCGAATACATATCATGCTGAAATCACGATTTCCAAACTCATAACTTCAAGGACTTCAAGAAAATAACCACATCTAACTTCAATGTGTATACGGCCAGAGCCATATAATAGTGGAATAATAGTCAAATTGCTAGTTTAAAAAGAAAAAAAAATTAACAGTTCTGATTAAACAAACACACACAGTTGGGACTCCAAACCAAAAAGAGACCACAAATAGAGAAACTCTCAACACCCACACACAACGACACCGCAAACATACACCACTTCCTCTGGGCAAAATAAAACACTGCTCTCGCCACAAACAACGTTGCGCACACACACACACGTTCGTAAAGGCGTCATATGGGCCCCGCACTAATTCTGAGGGTGTATCTGAGCTGAGAAACAAGACTGTTGTCAGCTGGTCTGCATTAGAAAACCATTCAGCCAAACCTGATCTAACATCTCCCAGAGAAACACGCTGTCATACACACATAAAAACACACACACATACATCCAGACGCACATACCAACACACCCCTAGGAGACCAAGAGCTCCAAAACTGACACGCAGAATCATTTACAATGACTCAACTTCAAAAGAACGTCTGCTTCACGCTCTGTCTTTCCCTCAAACTCATATTCATACACCCTAAACACTGCGTTCAAGTTTGAAACACGCTCTCAAGAAGTTAATTGCCTATTGTGTTCAAACTGACAAAATGAAATCATCTACAGTTGAAAGCATTAAAGCAGTGATGAGGTCATCAGCAATGACGGCTAAGACAGTGTGCGGTCGCTCTAAAAGAAACATTCTTCTGTTAAACACAGCTGACAGCATCTGTGACATGCTTTTGATTACCACAGACAATAATTTAGACTCATACCTTAATTTGTAAAAACATTAGGTGATGCACTTATACACTGGAAGCCTGGTAACAAGACAGGCAGAACTGGTAAATTCAATAAGTGTTTCAAATACGCTGTTGCTTTAAAACTATAACCAAATAGTTAAACATCACGTGTTAGCATGATAGTTGTGTGATATAATCATTTATTTGTGCAATTGCAAGAGTTTTCTAACCAATTTACTAAAAAGATGCAATTCATTGAATAAATAATTTTTAAGTGAATACCTTCTAACTTACATCAATACATTACTCCTTCAAGAATGAAGGACACTTTTATAAACGCTTCTTAAGAATGCAAAGAATTCAGACAGAACATTTCAGACATGAAACCATAGAGAATACTTTACTCTAAAGAGCTTAATGACCGCAGTAAAAGAGGTTAAAAAAATCATATAATGCAGAAGCAACAGCACCCGCACTTCTTGTGTCCCTGAGCGGTGTCTGGTTTTTCCGAGCCAGATCTTCTCAGAGAATTCAGTGACAGTCATTCACAGTGGTTCTCAAGTTGAGAGCTCACTGGAGGAGAAAATAATCAGAGAATAATGAAATGATAGTCAGTTTCTTCATACAGTGTATGAAGGCTTGAAATATAGTGCACAAGTGACCGTTCATAACTTCTGAAGAGAAATAGCACAGACAATGGACAAGGATTAATCTTTCTAGTGCACGTGTGTTTGCACAGACTATACTTTGAATACTTTGAAAGGCTACTGCTGCTGGTCTTTCATGACAAGAAGTCTCCTCATGCATTTGCATAATGATGAATTTTGATAAAGTTTACGACCAAACGCATCTTTATAAAAGGTTACAATACTGTTGCAGATGAAGTGTAACGGGGATAACATTAAATATTTTTTTTGTCAGGTTAAACCACTTTATCCAAACCTCTCTACTTAACCATCGTTCTAGCATATGCACCATGTTTGTAGTTTTTAACACTTTTTATTCATGTTTGTAGTTCTAATCAAATCCTTGTCCAATGCAGTGGGTTGTGGGGAATATCAGCCGTTAGAATGTGCTTAGATCTGCACTTTGACTTTCTATGATTTGGGACACATTAATTCTAATTTTGAATACTATTTAGGATGGTAGTATGCGAATGGGGATGCAGCATATGTGTTCGACTGTACATATGCGCTAGCATTCGCATCAAAACCATAATATACTTAGGATATGTCTCCTTTCCCATTCTTGAAATAACGTCATACAGGTTTGAAACAACATGAGGGTGAGTGAATAATAACAGAATTTTCATTTTTGGCTCAACTAACCCTTTAATCTAACATCCACTCAGTAGTGGCATACTTACATCTCTGTATCCATGCGGTATGGTTCCCGAAACCTCTCCGAAATCAGTCAGGCATCCAGCAGGACAGAATTTACTGCAAATGCAGGATGGCAAAATGAGACACAGACACATATATACACATGAACATGCACACACACACCCCAGACAGCTTTAAATGTGTGTACCTGAACTCCGCTTCACTGAAGTGCTTTCCTTTTTCCAGACAGGTGATGAGGTCTGAAGGATGAGAAAAGAGACACATTTTCTTTGAAACCTCTTGAAATATATTTACCTCTGTCAGATAAAGCAGCACATCAGATGGTTGCCATGGTGACACTATATTGATTAATGTCATCCTTCCACACAAAGATAATATGCAGTTGTATATGTGTGTGTTATGTGCGCACTGGCCATTCAGTAAGTGGTGTAACAGACTGGTGTATTGCGTTTCATTTTTGTGGATAAAAGCCTCCATCTGAATGAACAAATCAATACCAACTAGATTTACATCCGTTATGCTTTCCCCAAGAAAATATGAGTGGTGCTCCCCCATGCAAAACTTCCAGCCACAATGCTGGAATGTGTATGACCGTGTGTGCGCATTTCAGGTTCAAGGTATTTTGTGGTGTTATTGTACCCATTACTCACACCCACAGCATGGATTCATCTGTCTCTTTCCTGACTCATGGGAAATATGATCTCTCTCTCTCTCGCACACACACAGTCTCTGAGTGCTAGGGTAAACAGGTGTAGCTCCCACATGGCAGTGCAAACCCCTGACCTCAGACAGCTCCAGAGGTCAAAGGGCAAATGTCATTGTTAAGATACATCAAGCACAGAAGTGCATAGCTGTGATTCCAAAGATTTGGAGGCTCAGGATGTGCCATGCTCTACAGAGCACCTTCACAAATGTGCTTACACAACAGTTTGAAACTTTCTGCAGCATTCGACATTATTACAAAAAATAACTATCACTTTTTCTTGTGCTTTGGGCATTAGAGCTAGTTTGAACAACTAACACATGTCTACACCAGACACAAGTGACTATACTATACACACGCAGCCAGATTTTTCTAAAAATCTTCTGTATTAATTAGTACTAAGACTGGCCTGGTCTGTTGTTTCACAGTCGAAAAAGAAACAGAGATCAAATCTATGTAACTTAGATCTATGTAACAAATCATGAAATTTGAGTAACCAGACAAAGCTACAACAAAACAATTAATGCAAATGTCTTAAACTGTATTTTACAGTCGTGGCCAAAGGTATTGGCAGTGACACAAATTTTGTGTTTTGCAAAATTTGCTACTTAAGCTGTTGTGGTGTTCATTCACGTTATTTTTACAAGTATTGGCATTTGGCAGTGACATAAACAATGTGAATGAACACCACAACAGCTTAAGTTGTGACAAAATTTATGTCACTGCCAATACTTTTGGCCACGACTGTATGTCTTTTATTTTCAGATTACTCTTGCATTATTAAGACATTGGACAGATGATATAGACAAAATAACTGCTTAATGGGATAGTTCACCCAAAAATGACCCCATGATTTACTCACCCTCAAGCCATCGTAGGTCTATATGACTTTCTTCTTTCAGACAAATCCAGTCGGAAAATGTCCTTGCTCTTCCAAGCTTTATAATGACAGTGAATGGTGGTTGAGATTTTGAAGCAAAATAAAGAGCATAAATCCATCATAGAAAGTGCTCCACACGGCTTCGGGGAGTGAATATAAGCCTTCTGAAGTCAATCAATGGATAAATATCCATATTTAAAACTTTATAAATCGTAATCTCTAGCTTCTGCTAACTGTCGTACACTCTTTCACGAGAGAGTGGCGTTCCAGCGGATGACGTAGTTAGGACGTAGGCGTAAGCTCCGGTGAGAAGTGACAAGGAGAGAGCAGAACAAAACATCGGTCACGAATTAGAAGTACAAAACGAGGATTTGTAAAGAAAAATGGCAGAGGATTTCGATATAAGCCAAGAGTAGGGTGATTTTCTTTTGCTGTAAACAAAACTTCTCATTCTTGCAAGACTAGCATATTCTCTCTGGAGCTTACGCTACGCCTACGTCATCGGCTGGATGCCACTCTCTCATGAACACGCATACGACAGTTAGCGGAAGCTAGAGATTACAATTTATAAAGTTTTAAATATGGATATTTTTCTAACACAAATGCATCAATTCACTTTAGAAGGCCTTTATTCACCCCCCAGAGCTGTGTGGAGCACTTTTTATGATGGATTTATGCTCTTTATTTTGCTTCAAAATCTCGGCCACCATTAAGCATTTTTTTATATAACTCTGATTATATTCGTCTGAAAGAAAAAAAAGTCATATACACCTATGATGGCTTGAGGGTGAGTAAATCATGGGGTAATTTTCGTTTTTGGGTGAACTATCCCTTTAACTACATTTTACTGTTGAAGTCACTGTCATTTTGAAGGGCTGCAACAACTAATCGATAAAATCGATTATTGAAAATAATCGACAACGATTCTCATTATGGATTAGTCGGGTCTCCCCACAGTGCACGTCCAACTTCAGCCGGTCATGTCAAATTACAGCACTGAATTACCATTTTTATGGACAAAATGCATCTAAAAATAGTGTAGGAAACAGAATGAGATGCTGCATGGGAGTTACGTGATCCAGGCTGCCCAAAACATGAGGATTCTTCATTTTAAGCTTTAAGCTAATGCATTAGTGTAATGGCTTGCCCAGGCGCTTTGGCAGATGATGCGTGTGCGTCCTCAGCGCAAAAACTTTAAGTTTACGGTCATATCCTTATGTATAAATGTCACAAATTCACGCGAGCATTTCCATTTTTGCATAAAGGTCTGTCCTGACAGTCTGTGTTAAGTTTGAATCTTTACTGAATGAGCGGCGGTCGCGTGCACGGCGTCAGACAGACGGAAAACAGAGACAATCAGCGCAAAAACATAATTGTGCTGAAATATCTGTTGTTGAAAGTTAAATCGAGGTTTAAAGGTCAACATGCATTGCTAATATTTTAGGAGAGTAGGAACTGTAAGGGGATAACAGCGTGTAACTGTCTGAATTAAATATCAGACGCTTCATTACCGCCTATTACAGGATAAAGAAATGACACTAAAGACGTGACTGTGATCAAAGTGAACGTGTGTTCCTGCAGAACATTACTCTTACATATTGGTTACAACTGAGTTTGTGATTTTATTCGTCTTTATCATCTTTATTATTTTAATGCAGAGATTTAAACTATAATTATTGCTGTCATCTATGAAAGAAAGGCAGAGAGCTTTATAGTGTTTTTTTTAGATACCCATTACAGTCAAAAAGTACATAAACAATCCCAGCAAGAATGCAAGCTGTTATGAAGGGCATAGGAGGCCTTTTTTATGTGAAGAAATACTATTTAGTTGTTTAAGTTTATTTGCCCAATAAATGACAATTAAAAAAATATATTTAAAGGGGTCCTTATGCTTTTTCACTTTTTCAACTTTAGTTAGTCTGTGATGTTGCCGTTTGAGCATAAAAAAGATCTGCAAAGTTACAAAGCTCAAAGTCCACTTCAAAAGGAGATCTTTTATTTAACAGAAATCACCTCAAAAACTAAACTGAACGACTCGTTTGGACTACAACGCATATTTTCCGGGATTTGTGATATCACAAATATCGACCAATGGGACGAGATCTGGTTGAGCTACACTAGAGAAGGCAAGGAGTGTTATCACTATGTTGGAGACACACTTACTTAAACAAACTTAGAGTGGTACTGGTTACAATTATCCGGGTTTAAATCGCGCTAAAATTGATTTGATTTTGACACAATATTTACACTGAAGCTTACAGCAGGCGGCTATGGTAAGGGGCGTGACATTTCCCGACCAGGCGCCGAGTGCTGCCAATCACAAAACACACTGGCCCAGCTAACCAATCACAGCACATTTCGTATTTCAGATGGCGGCCCTTCATTTGATACAGGAAGTATTCAAGCAGTTCATGCCAGACTGGGGAGAGAGGTGTTGTAATAATGTAAAATATGTGAAAAATAATGTGTTTTTCAAACCACCTAGTATGAGAGCCTGTTCTAGTACACCCCCAAAACAAAATCAAGACTTTATAAAAGAGCATAATAGGACCCCTTTAAACAATTTTTTTGATAGATTCCTAAAATTCCTAAAATGTGTTTTCTCTTTATTATGGCAGGTGGGCTAATAAATTGTTAAGGACAGTATGTTTTCATAGCATTCAGTTGGCACGTTTGTTTGAAGGACATTGGGCAGAATGTGGAATAGTGTGTTTTTTGTCAATGAAAAAAAAATGTTATAAAATTAAATTAAAATATAAAAATGTATAATGAAAATCAGATTAATCGAAAATAATAATCGACCAACTAATCGATTATCAAAATAATCGTTAGTTGCGGCACTACAAATAACCTTGACTTGACTTTCTAAGCAATCTGACTTGCAATGTAAATCCAACAGACACTGAAGGAGTGGCCCGAGCTACCACAAGGGACCAGAATACGGATTTGGCAATAAGCAACATCCCACAACACCTTAGCAACATGGAATCCAGTTTCACACATGAAAACATTAACATTTGCAAGAAAGTGGGAAAAATCAACTTGCTTCGATGCATTTCTAACACTGTGACATCTTTGTACAGTATGACACAAGAACCAACAGCCATTACATAATTTCCTCTCATTTTAAATGACTTTAAATTATTGACTCATCTGTTAAATTAACAGATTTAATTATGGTCATTCATAAGCTCTCTGGACACACCCTGGAACCAGGAAAAACCCTAACACCCTTACAGTCAAAAACATACTCCTGAAATAATCTTTCTAATCAGTTTCATATGACGACCCTCAGTCTCATCTGAACAAACACACACACAGTTGCCATAGCAGCTCCTTTTTGCATCTTGAGACACATCCAAGCCTACTTCAACACTAATTCATACAAACACAAGCCTTCACACATACAGGACAATAAGAACACAACCATTTTTTTTTGTTGAAAGCAATACTTTTATTCAACAAGGATGCATGATTAAATTGATCAAAAATGACAGTAAAGAGATTTATAATGTTACAAAAGACTTCTATTTTAAATAAATGCTGTTCTTTTGACCTTTCTATTAAAAACATTCTGAAAAAATGTAATCACCGTTTCAACAAAACACACACACACACACACATATATATATATATAAAGCAGCTGTTTTCAACATTGATAATAAAAATAAATGTTTATATACTGCTTACCTGTGTGCTGGCTTTTGGTGTAGGAGAGGAAGAGGCCACGGCCATTGTTGTGTGGTCCACTCATGAACTGCACTGTGACCTGATGCCCCTCAGAGTGTATAACAGCGTCTCTCCATTCTCTCCCTCCACAAAACTTCACTGCAGAGAGAGAGATGGGATTAATTTTCAGTTATTTTCCGCTTACTCATCAGCACTCCGTACATTAGTGGGTGGTTTTGCTGCCATTACATAAGCTGTTTACACCTGGTATTATAGTCGGCATAAAATGGAAATTACAAACATCTTTTCTTCTCATTGTGACATATATACAAGTAAACAACATATTTTTACTTTATAGTATAAAATATTATTTTAACATTAAGTTTACTGCCAATGTGAACTGCTCAACATTTGTTTATACTGTTTGTTAATCTTATTTTTTATTTATTTGGTTTATTTGAAATTATTTCTTGTTTTTACGGTACTGTATAAGGGATTGTAAACTTAATTTTGTTACTTATGCAATAATAACTGCTGTCATATAATGACAATAAAGATATTTAATTCAATTCAACACTGCAGAATTTCATATTTGACTTTAACATCAGTTTTTGGCTACTTTTGGACAACACATTTCATTAATACCAGTTGTAAATAAGGCCATGGATTACATAAGTCTTGAAAAGACAAATGACTTTATTCCCAGCATAAAGTAGATTTTTTTCTCAATTTATATTGGAAGTACAAATTTGACTGAAGACCAGGAAGAAAAAACAACAACAACCGATTCCTCACCAATTTCCATTCGCCCTGGACCATGGCCGTTATAGAGTCGCAGGTAAGACACCTGGCAGTTGTTTGTGTCTATGTCAAGATCTGCAATGCGCACAAGGATTGTGTGTCCAGTGGTCACGCTGATCTCCCATTCACACACGCAGTTTGTGGGGTAGGACAGAGGGTACCCCAGAGACGCCAGGCTTCCACTGCCCACACCCAGCACTGTGTGTCCACAGCCGTCCCCTGAAAAACATCCAGAAATGATCAAGCACTCTGCAGAGCTCAGATTCTAAGGTACTTTGATATATACATCATGCACCATGATGTTAAGAAGATACTACTCCAAGGTAATATAATTTAACAAGATAACAGCATGGAACTCTTTATTAGTGTTATGGAAATTACAGTCTAATCTGGATGCGGTAAACTAAGGTTTGATAGAGTGTCCAAATTTTGTTTTAATTATGCACAGAATGTTTTGTCACTTAAAACTAAAACTTCATTTTGTGAAATGTTTTGCTTGAAAATTGTGCAGAAGAGCTCCTTGTTGAATCTTTAGAGGTGGAGAGAGGGAGAGGGAGAGAGAGAGAGAGAGAGAGAGAGAGAGAGAGAGAGAGAGAGGTGAGCAGCACTTTGCCTCTGTCAGTCTTGAATTATGCATTTTGTTTGATTTTCCCACAGCGACGGCTGCAGACATGCATGCCGGAGAGAGAGAGAGAGAGAGAGAGAGATAGAGATGAGATCGCATTGCATTGCAGCTGCTTGCGCTGCCTGTCACGCGTTTACACACCGAATGAAACTCAGCTTGCGCTGTTGTTACGTAATCCTTGCTGGACAATATTCAGACCCCCGGAGCAAAAACAACAGCCCCATCCACACACACACACACACACTCAATGTTTCCCCTAGCTTTACTCCACCCATACAAACCTTATATTTCCAGAGTTTTATGCACAGAAATTACTGTCAGCTATTTCAGATAACAGTCTGAAAATAAGAGAAACTGGCTAATTTTCATGTTTCACTGATTTTTTCTTGTTTATACTTTAATTCAGCAAGGTTTCAATTTAATTCAGCAAGGCATTAAATTGATCAAAGCGACAGTAAAAACATTTAATAATAATATTACTAAAGATTTCAATTTCAATGCTGTTCTTCAGAACCTTCTATTCATCAAAGAATTCTGAAAACAATTGTATCATAGTTTCTACAAACATAATAAGCAGACCAGCTATTTTCAACATTGATCATAATAAAAACTGTTTCTTGAGCACCATATCAGCATATTAGAATGATTTTTGAAATTTCATGTGATTTTGAACAATATTTCAGACATTTTCAGCTATTTCAAATAATGATCAGTATGATACTGTGGCTAGTTGTCACGTGCTTCCCTGACTAGATTTCTCGATTTTCTCTAGGTTTCTATTTAAAATCCAGTTTCTGTATAAACACATATCTGAAAGTCTTGGCTACATTCAATGAGGGAATCAAACTTTTTTTTATAGTTGACTGATATATATATATA